AGTTGATTTCAGGCGTGCGTTTTGGAAAAGGAAGAGTGTTAAATTGCTTCGTAGATGAAGTATTTTTGATGTTTTTTTTTTAATCGCTGTAAAAGAAGTATGCTATGTGTACTCTTTCAGTGGCGGCGCCAGCCTCCCGAGACTGGGGGTATAAATAGGGGGCGGAGTGACTCATTGGGGCGGGGGACAACTTGCGAGGCTGAATTTAAAATGCAGCAATACTGTGGAGGCCTCTTGTCGCAAGCCTTGTTAAAAAATAAAGTGGGGGTGCAAACCATTCTTCTAGGCCATACACTGCACCCCCACTCGCGCCGCCATTGTACTCTTTATTTGATTCACCAACAAGTAGTGTTATAGGGGAGGAAGTGTTGTCCTAAGAACTGAGATTAGCCCAGCTATGCCCCACACCCACTCTCTTGGAGAAAGGGAACGAATTGCCTGTAATTTCCCTTTTACCATTCTGTGACCCCTGCTCGGTCCCCACCTTATGACTGATAGAAACACCAATAAGATCGGTCACAGTCATAGCCTACAATGAGGAAGTTCGAGTTTATATGAAGATAGGCGGAATTTACCGAGTGGAGATCAATCATGAGTAGATGTTATTGTTAGTCAACTACTGTTAGTAAATTAATGACCAAGCTGAATCAGGTCAGATATTTCAATAGATGTCCTGTTTGTATCATCAACTATTCAATGAGTTGACATGAACTTAAGGACAGTTTCTATTCAATAAAGACGTCATTGACGAATTTGAATGTTTCTACCGCCTCTTAGGTCTATTTAAAGATGGGTTCCCTTATTTTCATTTATGAATAGAATGTAGAGGTGTTCTAATGAATAGAAAAAATACCAGTTTGCCTCACATGTCCATAATTAATTCATAATTAGCTAAATTAGAAAATAATTACCTGGAGAATTCCAATGAGTGACCGATCAAGAATGGTCAAAAAGACATATTTAGTTTATCCAGACTGTCCAAACATGGACATTTATGATTGGTAAAAACTCTTAATTATATGCAATAAGAACATAATGATATGTTTAAGAATACATGATAATTCATTAGAAACACCAATTAATCAGATAGTTTGCTTAATTTGATACTAAAAAATAAGGAAACCCATCTTTAATCTGTGTGTTTTGAATGTTTCTACCGCCTCTTAGGTCTATTTAATCTGTGACCGAATATTTTTAAGGGGCCAATACGGACTGGTCAATAGGGAGTCTGATGAAAAGATACATTTGAATGACGCACGGGCGAAATATATTTATGCGGAATGGAATGCTATTTAAGAAAAGTATATTTTTTGTGAAGAGAATAATAATAGTGGAGCGGGAAATTTCAATTACGGAATCAAATGAAATGTTCATTCAGTTGCAGCTGCCACCGATGAATTTTTTCTCGCACCCACTCTTGTGGGTGGAGGACCAGGGACAGGGGCAAGGGAAAATGTTTTAAAAGAACTTAAATCCTGCATTTTTTTCCCCACTAAATAAAATATATAATTTTGGCCTTTGGGAGCCGCCATTATTGAGGTGGTCAAGGGGGTCGAGGGGGTCGAGGGGAAATGTAAATAAATGACCTAAATCCGGTATTATATGCAATTTGAAAATGTATTCTTTCAATAGTATTTTTTTCCACTAAATAAAATCCGTAATTTTGAGCGTTGGGTGGAGGAGGGACGCTATGGAGTCGCCACTGTGCTCAATTATTGGGCAAAACATTGGGCATAATTCTCGAGTAAAATATATTATCAATAACAAAGATGAAATTATATATCATTGGTATTAACTTGACGTGTAAAAATGGGAAACCAGATATTTGTTGTCACCATTCGGCAATCCTCGGCAGTATCCGCAGTCCTAGCAGAAATTTGACGGTTGACCTTTTGTGCCGCTACATCAATCGGTAGGTTTTACTTCAATTGCAGACTAACCAGACGTCAAAATGTAACTCTGGAAGGTGATACACTCTCTTCTATATGCCATGCAGTGTGCAATGAGGACAATTTACCTACCAGCAACGTCGTTAGGGTGGGGTCTGTGGGGGCTTGGCCGCAAGTGAGAATTAAGCCCCAGCAAAACCTCCAGATCAGCAGAGATTGGTTCATTTACAGTGTCTTTGTACAAAATCAAAATGACAGATTTTGATACGTTTTTTAGCACCTCAAAATTGTCAGAAATGAGTTAATGGGCCTTTAATTCTTCAAATTTTCAGAGTTCAAAATCTGAGCCCCGGCACCAATTCATTCCGAGCGACTGGACCATTCCTACTCTTTTTTTTCTCTCTCAATTTCCAGCACAGGGGACTCGTCTTTTATTGTCCCATCAGCAAGCCGGATTTTATAATGAAAAACAGATCAATTTACACGTTTTCAAACACAATTATAGTGAATGATAATATAACGTGAAAATATGAAATGATGATCATATTAAATGTAATAAAGACCACTTTAACTGACAGCCAGGTGAATTCAAGCCATTGTTAGAGACATGGGCGAGAAGAAAGCTGTATAGTGTCATTAGTCGCCACCACGCCTTCGATGTATTTACTTTCTTTATTCTGTTTGAAGAGTCTTATATCTACCTTTTTAAATATAAGAATTATAATATTTAGGTTAATAACAACACTTATTGAAAGTGGGCTTTTTTTCACGCATTTATATTATAGTCTAAAGGCAAATTTAAAACTGAACGATCGGGTCTTTTCATGATAGGGTGAACAATTTTAAAATTCGTACTCAGTAAAGAGCAAATAATGAAGTTTATTTAAAGCTTAATATCTCTTTTTATGGAAAAATTCGTTATGATGTTAACATAAATGGGAAAATCTGAAAGCGCATTTTAACATACTTTTTTGTTTATTTTTAAGCTTGTGAAAATAAACCCCTACCACTTTGAAGGGAGGAGTCCGATAAATATCTGTTTTACCAACTGAAAGACTAAATTTGAACTGTACTTCACTTATAAGATAAAGATAGCTAGCCAGGCAAGATAGCTTCATAACTCACCAAAGAATCGTCAAATTCGAACTTGATCGAGATCTAATCAATGCTCACACCAAGTTTCATCAAAACCCATTGAGAATTGTAGCATAAGGGCAATAACTCAAAAGCAGTCCAATTCGAACTTGACCGCCATCTTATGAATTTCAATGCTGACACCAAAATCCGTTGAAATTTGTAGCTTCTATTGTACATACAAAAAAAATATGACAAGATTTTACTAAGTCAAGGGCAATAACTGACGAATAACATCAACAAATCGTCAAATTCGAACTAGACCGCCTTCTTATCAATCCCAATGCTCACATGTTTCATCAAAATCCATTGAAAATTGTAGCTTCTATTGCGCCCCAATTTTTTGTATCATCTATCTAAAGCTTTGCTTCGGAACAATAAGAAAAAAAATCCAGTGGTCCAGTTTACATGCGTTAGGACGTAAAACTCCATTCATTTCATTTTCAAATCACAGGGGTGTGTATGTTTTAACTAATCATTAGGTAAAACAGCAGATATTTACAGGATCAAGGGATATAACTCTTTCTAAAGCGATGTGACTTAGACAACTTTTGAATAACTGAATTGAAGGAGAGTAAAATGTGACGACTCTCATTTCAGCTGAAGAATAGTGGGTGATTCGAAACGTTTCTCTGGCGTGAGGGAGTCGTGCACATTTTTCAGATAGCAGAGGCTATTACTTTGTAATGACAAAATTTGGTTAGATCCATTATCAATGAGAATGGAAGTTTGATATAATATTCCTAGCACAGAGCGATGTAGTTCGAAATACCAGTCTCTATTTCAGTCCTGATTTTGAAAATTGTCGGCTGGAGAACAGACAGAAAAATTAGGCCCTGTCTTGTGAGAATTTTCAAAGTTTCAAGTTACAACGATAATGTAATGTAATGTCTTTATTTGGGCGGGCTACTGAAAATGAACGTCATACTGCCAGTCTCCTAAGCCTGGCGAACAAGGGGCCGACTGACTTAATTGAGATTACAAAATGCAGAACAGCATAGACCCAGATGCAATTCTGCTATAGTGGGTCTCCCAAAATAAAATTTGTAAAATTTGAATTAATTTGGTGCATTCTGGCACACATTTGGGTCAAAACAAAGTATAAATATCACATTTTGAAACTTCAGACAAATGAATAAGGGGTGCAATAGTGGTATAGATTATATTCTGGGCAGGCAATTAGTAATAAAAACACACATGTAGATTTCATTGTATATGATTTTTTTTTAATGCAATCACAAACAATATATATATATATATACTGTATATATATATCTCTCACTTCGCGACATAATGTTAAGTTTATGGTATGCAACTTCGTATTACTACAATGATGAAAATAGACAAGTACAGCCGAAATACAAAAAAAAAAATGAAAAAAAAAAAACAAACAAAAAGAAATGAAAAATAATGTTCAGCACCTGAATAATATGTAAATTAATGTACATGTATGACCAAATATGGTAAACACTTCCTTATATGGATGTCTCTCATATTAGTAAATCTTAATGAATTAATAAGTCAATTCATAATTAAAATTAAAGAAATGGAGATGAAAGTGAATGAAATGTAAGTTATCTGAAGGCAGTATATGACAATAATAATAATAATCTATACGTTTCTATGGTAACACAAAAAAATTAATGTAACTTCATCCAGCTATTATATTTGTGAATGTATATATATATATATATATATAGATAATTATTCCGTATGTACAGTTTACGCCAGTCAATACGCGCTAAAATTCACGTATAACATAGTCTAGAAATGTACAAAGTGAGCGTCAAGATTCGAATGAAAATCGTCTGTAACATCCCATTTTTTTTAAAAAAGAGAAAAAACACAACAGTCACACATACATACATGATATGCAAATTTCCGGTCATTGGTAGTCACAAGTGTCAGTGTATGCATCAATATAAAGTCCTCACAAACACATCACTATGGTAACGAATTCAACGTTATATACAGCGGCTACGACAGTTGAGAGCATTCAAACAAAACATCGGAAAGAATTTTCGCTACAGTCTGATCGAGAATCTGTGACATCACAAGAGCCAATATTCGACTCTGTTGATGTACGAATAATGTTCGATTTTCCTCGACGCGTGCTAAATGAACGAGAATGGTTGCGGAACGACGTAACATGTCCAAACTAGTTCCCATGGATTCAGGGTTATTTTGAAGAACGCTTATTCCTTGAGATTTAGCCACCTGGTGAGCGTTCTGTTCTGCCGTTTCGAGAAAGTCTACTAGTAAAGATATACACTGATGTTGCAAGGCAAGCGCACGAGCGATACTTGAATCACCTTTCACAAGTTCTGATAATAAAACAATGGAAAATTCTTGAGTGACCTGCTCTTTACGGTTGGCCAATAACTTCACTAACGTTTCAAACAAGTCAATCACACGTTCGAAAGGAGGCGTGGCCAGTAATAAATCTACGTTTGTGTCATGAATACACAGTTTACAGAGCGCCTCTAGCACTAGTCTTTGAGGGGAAAGGACGGAATTTGGAGGCATGTTAGGCATTGGATCTCGAGCACATGATGAAGAACAAACCACCCAATGAAGTAATCCGTCTAAAATTGGGAAAGCAATATTTTCGGGATAATCAGCAAGTTTTAACTTTCCACTGATATTTGCGTAAATGACTAGGGTATTTTCTCGAAGTATGTCCAGACACGCCCACCACCATTCGCCCTCCTTCACCCCATCTTCATTATCATTCCAGTCACTCAAGTCTTTATCGAACTTGTGTTTTTTCGATCGAGGTAGATGACGATGATGCAGCAGTAATAATTTTCCCAGGGTGTTCATTAATCCCAGATGCTGTGAAAGCTCAAGGCCGTTTCCAGGGATACATGACAGACTACGGAAGATATTTGATATACATGTACACCGTTTAGCAAGTTCTTCATGAGCGTAAGCAGTGTTATACAGTGGAGGTTTATCATATTCATACGCCTCTTCTTCAAGATCGTTACATGGTTGTGGTCGAGTTGCCATGGCAGCTAAACTCAAAACTTCGACTGAAGTTTTCTGATACGTTGTAGGACAATGATATGGTAATTCTTCTTTGACTTTCGTTTCGGTCGACTTGTCATCATCTTCAGTTTTCTCCTCGCTTTTTTCTTTCTCAGTTTCTGCATCTGCATCAACCTCCATTTTGATTTCTGGTTTATTGTCTTTTGAGTCTTCCTCATCAACAGATTTCGGTTCTGATTTTATGAAATTATTACGCACATATTCTTTGTCCGAAGATAATTTTTCACTTTCGATAATTTCCTCGATATTAATTTTATCTTTATCACTGTCTGTATCGTCTTCGAACGCCACTGAATCTTTCGTGAAAACTTTACGTTTATCTTTATGCTTGCCGTGATATTTAGAAAATAATTTACTTAACAACATATTTGTCTTTACACTCTCCATTTTGGTCACTATGTGATTCAAATGACCAAAATTCTCATCCGCCATTACTTCATTGCATCTATCCCATGTTTTAGGCTCCAACATCCAGGCATCCATAGACTCTTCTTCAATCTCTACCTCCTTTCCATTTCTCGTTACCAGAGTAAAGTTTTCGCTGTCCAGTTTTTCTTCCGAGCTCATATCCAGGTTTGCTTCTGGTTTAGTGATGTCTTCATCAAAATCTATCATATCAGTAAAAACCTCATATATACATTTACGGAAATGTTCTAAAAGAACGTCGAGAAGTCCTGGTAAATGACTTAAATTAAAATAGGACACAGTCGAATCATCGAATAGTAAAATATTTAAAGTATCTAATGCCCATGTACTTTCTGTTAATAATCCAGATTTCAGGGCCATCATCAGTCTCCAGGAATCTATTGGTCCTACAATAAAAGAATACAAAATATTAAAATTTCACTTCTTCAAAAATTTGGTTGCTTTGAGCACAACATAATTCGGTTATTCTAGAGCAATATTTCTATAGTCTGTAAGGCAAATGCCACATGTAATCCACAGTATTATAGCTCTTCTAGATATCAGAATAGGCCCCAATATTGACAACTGTTCAGATTTCTTTGAAGAAGTCTAATTCAGATTACCAAGCTGCACAAAGATATCTCACTTGATGCAAATAAAAAAACACAATTTTGCAGGCCTTTTCAGCCAATCAGAAATCTCAAAAATATTCAACTCTGAGAATCGCCATCTTGGGTAACTTTGGTAACAGACCTCAGAAAATTTCTGGGTAAGAGAAGTCTAACAATGTCTACTCTTTGATCAAACAAATAAAAAATTTACATTCTGCTTCTAAAAAATTCTCAAAAAATAAAATTTCTACAAAATAATTCTGGCTCACTTGATACTGTAAAGAAATTAACTCAAAATTTTTCCAGTTTGATGCATTTTTGGAGGAATTTATATTTGATATTTGCAATATATATTTTTCTAATTTTCAAAACCAAATACAAATACATAAGTATGCAGTTTTGAAACTACTTGCAAACCCATTTTTGTAATTTATCACTTTTTTAAACAACCCAATCTTATATTAGTGCAAATTCAAACACCAAACCAAAAGTTTAAAATTGATAATCCTGAAAGCTGAAATACACCTCAAATTCCCCATGCATATCTGAACATTGGAAAAATGATGACAAAAAATATATATACATTAAACTTAGGACAACAAGCCTGTTCTTTGCAGCATCAAGCTTACATTTTCAAAAATTATTTTCAGTTTGGCCAATTTGAAATCCAAAATGAATGAAAAATGAAACATGATAAAATGAAATGAGATGATGGGGAAAATGACAAAAATAAAATAAAAGGCTCAAATTTAAAGGGTTTGATCACAAAAATATCAGAAAATTTTCAAATTTTTTTTAGTAGGTGTTTTGTCAAAATATGTCAGAAAATCACAAATTATAATTTTTTTAAAAATTTTAAATCTCAAAAAAATTTTCGTACAAAATTGTCAAGTCGGAAAGTTTTAAATTTGTAACCAAACCAGAATTTAAATTTGAAGCCAGAAAGGAATTTCACTGACCTAGGTCCTTGCTGGTTAGGCGACGGCGTTTTATTAACAGTGGGTGAATGCCTTCTATTGTGTCTGGTGGAAAAGGGATCTCGGTTCTCTTTTGGCTAACTTGAGGTTGAAAAGGGGCCTTCTGCTGCAAAAGAACAGCGAAAAGCACCATATTAAAAAGACAGCAATGTAAAAGCTAGCTAATATAACATAATTATACCTCTATTATACTGGTTACCTTAGAAATAACCTGAAATTTAACTGGAGTGGAGGGGAGAGGGCAATATGGAAGGGCCATTATGGATGTAGAATTAAAATTTTGATTTAAACAAAATAATCTAAAATATTACATTAACTTGCTTGTTTACTATAATATTATGCTGAGTGGAGTAAGGACCCCTATAATACTAAAAGCTGTTATAAGTTCATATTTCAATTGAACCATCAAATAACAGTAGGCCTTTAGGGTTTTATCAATAAGAGAGTCTCATATATGAATTCATCACAAAAGTGCTCTCAAAGAAGCAAATATTCAAAAGGGATGAAGCATATCAAAGTGGTATTTGCAAATTTTCAAATTTGAAAGCAAAAAATAACATGTGCAAAGGGATTTGATAACCCCATGTTAGTTGAACATTAAAATCTAGGTCAAACTTTCAGGTTATTTCTAAATTTAGCACAGTATCTCAGAACCTACAATTAGAAAATCTAATATCTATCAACATAGCATCCTAGCCGTGCCGTCACTAGCATGCCATATCTATGCTATATTCTATGCTTGTCGAGATCTAGTCCCATGCCATCACTTGCTCAGGCTCCAGCAGTCACTACCATGCTATGCTGTCTCTATCTATTCTAATCTAGAACTTCTAATCTAAAGTTTGTTAACAATCTAGCCATATGTTATAGTAATGACTTTTTGGGTAGAGTTTGTCGAAAGGGATTTAGGGCAGACTTCTGGAATTCACTATGAACACTGTGCCACCAGGCTGCAACAGTCTTTTCTTTAACTAAATGGAGAGAATGTGAACTCATTCCAAAGAATGAAAGTGAAAGAGAAGGTTTGACTCTAGTAGCAGTCTGGTTCATTAATATTGAATGAAAGGCATAGGTTCAAGACTGACTAATACAGCCAATGTTATTGTGATGGAAAAGGCATGGTTTATCAAATGAGCATATAGAAGGGTTTCTATATTTGCAATTATGGTTAACAAAGATCAAGAGTCTATCAATAGGAATACAAGAGAGTTAATTCCAATCAAATGCATTCTGGGACAATTAACCTATCATCAATCTATCATAGCAAGAGGGAAATTAAAATTCGTAAAGGTTTAAATAGTTAGCAACCTTACATTGAATTTCTGTTAAGCGCAACTGATAAACTAAACTCTCAATCATTTGGATTTAGCAAAATGCAAGATGTTACCATTATATTAAAAGACATGTGGTTTGAAAACAGACGCTAATGCAAATTATAGCGAGATAAAGTAGTCACTGAGGACTCTACGAAAGGGGTGAAAAGTTGAGAAATTCAGTCTCAGAGTGGCACAAGGTGTTCAAATGTTATGTTTCAGTCTACTAATCTAAAGGCAATGCAATCTATCTAGCTAGCTAGCTTCTAACATGCACGTTAATGTACCAGTGTATATCAATATATTATTTTGCCATTTACATCGGCCGGATTGACTTTTGTCTTGATATTACAGGTCAATAACCCTTGGCTTCTTTCCTCAAAAACATCAATTGTGTTGTAAATTTGTCAACAAATTCTTATTGCAAGATTTTTAGGGAACAGGGCCCTTATTCTCAAAAACTAAACTAAAGATAATTTTAGTGGTCTAGTCATCTGATTGGTCAATAACTAAAATCAATTTTAAGTTAAATTTTATTATCCAATCAGATTACTGTATTTTTAATATCTGGATTTCATCTAAGTTAAGTTTTCAAGAATACGGCCCCAGAACAAAAAATGATTTTGTTCACTTTCAGCGCAAATAAATCTAGCTCATAGAAATGTGTGTTTGGCTCCTAGATACTTGTCCTTGAAAGGGGAAAACTGTTAAATTTAGGACAGGAATGCAACATGACTTCAGTTGACGATTGTACAACTTGCCCTTTAGTCGAGTGAACCACCCAGAGCTGCATTCAAATCAGATTGGACAGCCATTAATGATTGCAATATGGATTGGTAAATGTTGCTTTTCCTTGTCATGGTTTGAAAATTTTCCCATAATTACCTTCATGCTTTTCATGCGAGGATGTCTTGGTCCCATTGGCTGTCCGTACGGTCCCATTGGTGGAGTACCAGGGGCTCCTGGAGGCATGTAATTCGGATTATGTGGATATCTCATTGGTGACCATTGGCTTCCATCTCTAGGGCCACCTGAAATTGCAAAATTTGAAAATTCAAAATATAATGCAATGGGCTATTTCTCCACTTCATCTATAAATATACGAGTGAAAGCATAAGAATGAAAATTTGGCTTCCTTCAAATTTGTACTATATTCTTCACAGAGATTAATTGGCCATTGTCAATCCCTGCATTAAATTTGTAGTATTGCAATAATTTCTGATCTAAACCTTAACTCCAACCTACTGGCATCATAGGTTACATTTACCCTGTGTTCGTTTGTAACTGTTATAAATAGAAATGCAGAGTTGGTCTCAACATCTAGAACTTTAGTAAATAAAATATGACACATCTATATTTGTTTTTCCTGAATTGAATAATTGGCTCATTTGATTGGTCAAATTTAATCAGAATAAAGCATTTTCTAAGATTAATTTTATCGATTTTCAAATATAAAACCCAGAAGCATGCATCGTAAAGAAATATCGCATAAAAATGAAAATAACTTGAATTAAATTTGAACGATTTATAACGATAAATAAAGATAGAAAGTTTAGTGTAATATGAAAGCAATTCACACAGATTTGAGTAAATTAATAGTTGCCTACAACATAGTGCTTGCTAGACAAGAGTTCAAAGTTCAGAGTTCAAAGAGT